CAACTGCCGAGCTGTCATGTAGATATACGTCATCATATTGCCATGTACGCATATATCTTTGTAAGACCCTATTCAAATGTAAACTTCGTCGCCTGCGGAGCTGGTCTCCAGTCTGTATGTTAGTCAGAAAAGAAAATTCAGACACAGGAATGGCAGTAAATGGCGATGGTTTTTGAATGATGAAGACTTATGAGCTGGAAGCGAATAAAAGACCCATAGAGACCTTAATAGAAAATCCCATACTCAAAAGTTCCAACGGTCTTCAGAAAGTGCTTAAAACTCACCAAAAAAAAGGCGGATGCACGAACACATACCATGATGTCTAGCACGGAAAACTTGGAACTCAAGAGATCGAGAGATCGCCCTATTTCGCATAATGGAGGTTCATAATGGAAGCCCACAACGGCCTACTCAAGATAGTAAGGCTCGAAGAAGCAGTGACGATGTTTTTTTTTTTGCGAAAGGCATTGGCTGCTTTCATAGTCCACGATTTGGCCCGCAACCGGTACTGGTCGCTCGAGCAGTCGCGCGACCGGTCGCGGTCCAAATCGTGGACTATGAAAGCAGCCATTCAGATCAAGATGAGGTGCGAAGAGCAGCACAATGGGTTTTGAAAGGCACTCTCGTGAGGAAAGGTGACGATTAAACAAAGCAGTTGGTTCCGTTACTGCAAGTATGCCTACATAGAATGGTTTACAGCTGACTGTAAAGAATACTACCCTTCTTCACACCAGTCAAGTGCCGATTCATCTACATAGCTACAGAGAAGTACTTAGTGAGTAGGACTACTATTACCAGAGAAGTCTCCTGCTGCTGACGGTAGAGTGGGACAATTCGCAAAACATGAAAGAAACCCGACGTTTATGAAACGGTTGTTCCGAATACTCCTGCGGTACCCTTTTCTCCAGAACGGTCAAGAGCATGGTGGATAGGAGAGTGGTCAAGCCTCCCATGATGCTCAACTGCAACAGGGGGTAGTAGTCAGTGAGGAATGGGATATTCAGGATCCCTGCTCTGCATTCCCATAGTATCGGTCCCCTGACAGGTTAGCACTTGTGTAAGCCGAGGCCGAGCCGAGTCGATCAATTATCATATCGATTTCAGTATATCACAGACGGTGGTGCAGGTCTGAGGATCGTCGGCTGGATTCCGTATGGCGGCTGATCGTGAGGTCCGTTCATTCTTCATTGATTTCCAATATCGATTTCCAATATCGGTCTTGTGAACCGTTATATGTTTTACCTTACTATTTTTATCATTCTACCAAGAAAGTCGCACAAATGCAGAAAAAAGGGAGCCTTATAAGGATTCCAATCAATATTGCCATTTTAAATACTATATTCACGAACTCTCCGTTTAAGATTTTAGTGGATGCGTGAATGCTTTCCATTTTCCGTCATTTATTACCATTGTACACTACTAATTTTTCCTTTACCACATATTTGTGGTAAATCGCTTACTTTCACCCACTTGCTCTACTCCTTCTACCTGTAATTTTGAATTTTCATATTTTCCGTTTGTCACAAGTGAGCTAACTCTACCAATTTCTTCATCGCATCATTGACTGCTGAATAAGACTTTGAAAAACGGCATAGTTACTCGACTTTGTAAAAGAAAGCAGATGAACAATTAGCCACACGTAAGGATCAGGACAGGAATGAGTTAACTAGAAAGCTGCAAAAGCACTGTCTGGAAGGGGTGATCGAGATATTCATGGCTTTATCCAAAAGATTATTTTGGAAAACGAGTGGAGTTTGGTGGCAAAATGGCCTCTGTGTTTTCTGACAGCCGTTTCTACGCCTGCGCTTAACTTTTTGTTCAGTGAAAGTTTATCGAGAACAGTAAAAAATGGGTGGTCATATCAAAATTCCGTAGACCGGAAACCACTTCTTTTGCGTCTTGACTGATTTTGTAGGTTCGCCGAGCTTCTCTACAGCGTGTCATTTTGTAGAGAACAAGATGTACTATACCGATTGTCTTCTCATATTTGCTTCCCTGTCCCCATAAATATTTGAGAATCCTTTTTTCCTGTTCCATACGTTTTCCATATCAATTCCTTGTCAATACACAAGGGTCTCTATTTATCGTAAAGGTTTCAAGAGAGCTTGCTAGTTTAAGTATTTTCTGAGTATCTTCCTACGCTCTAGTTTGATTGATTGAGCTTTACTGACATGTAAAGGATAATGAAACCTCAACATATCTAATAGCAAGTTCTAAATTTAAACTACGCTTTTGCTTAATCTGAACGATGGGCTTTTCGTTGGGCAATTTTTCGAAGGCATATTATAAGACGGGAACTTATGTTTGAAGCTGATTGGTCACAATATAGTACTCATTTGAACATTGAAACTGAAAATAGTATTTGCCATTCACTTCTAAAATAGAATTTCGGTAAGCTCCCACCCTCTAAGGGAGTTTTTAACGTACATGCGACATCAGTTCCCCTTCGCAGCTCTATGTAGACATGAGAATGCCCTCAGGTGAGCCATTGTTTTTCCTGACGCACAGAATGTCACCAACATAAAACTGGGTAAGCTTTCAAGTGTTCGACACATCCTATAACCCTTCCTTTCCACTTCAACTTTGTTTGTAAGTTAGCTGGACTCCGTGATGAGTGTAGCTCGTACTCGCGCAAGAGGAAGAGATGGTCCCGAATGGAAACCCTTGTTTCCTGTCGCGTATCTGTATCTGTATGCGAACCGAGAAGGAGTGATGCGTTTTTTAACTCGTTTTCATCGTAAATAAATTAGTGTAGTGCTTTTTCCCTGAGTTTCTTCCTTTTTTCCTGTTTGTAGTTTTTAATTTTCTATCAGTGCGCCTTCCTGAATTGTCGAGAGGTTGTCAACGAATAAAGAAGACATCAAGCTCCCTAAACTACGCTATCAGTGGTAGAACTATAAAATGCGCTACTGTCAGACCGGTGAATGGGTCTGCAAAGCAGAAATAGCCGGCCTCTGAGCAACTGAGTATAACCACTAGAAACAGCAAACCTTGATAATAGAGGGTTAACGTCCAGTACATCTAAGCATGTCTAATTAATTGAGAGGTTTAATTTTTCTCGTGTAATTATATTTTGTTAATTCCTATTCTATCATCTTCCCATGGTTTTCCTTGAAATTGTTTTCTCTACAAAAGATTGCGCACTAGCCAACACCTCAAAAATGCGGTTGATCAAGGTCGATTATATAACTTTTTGATTTGCGGTCCATTACATTTCTGCTCTTTTTTGAATAAATAAAAGTCTGTACAAAAGAGTTCTGAGCAATGCGTTTGTAGCACATGCTGCTTTTCGAAGCGCAATTTCGGAATACTGCCAACTAGCTATGCTTTTTCACAGGTAAATGAGCTCCTGCTCAAACGCGGGACTAGATAGGTGGCATTGGCAGCAGTGGGGCACAGCGAAGCCTTCTTTGGGATTTTTTCTTGAGTGGTTTTACGTTCTAAAAATATTATTTTAGCCTTAAAAGCCTTTCATCAAACCAATTTCCAGTACCTTCTATTTTTGAAGACCACATCATACACTTCGCTTTGCATCGTAATGCCTGCAACCAGACTTTCCGTTCGTCGATGTCCGATCTCCTGCCAATGCGCGGCGCGCGAGTTTGTGCGGTGCAGTTAGTTGTCAGGATATATGCCGCGTGACAGAAAGACCTAACGAGTTCTTGAGACGCTCCAAGCTGTCTATCTGGTTTCGTTCAAAATCGCTTCACCACTGTTCAGTTTGTGGATAAGCGCAAATTTTGTGTATAACGACAGCCTGTATAGTTTGAAAGGAATTTGTGAATCTCGTCTGGCGAAGCTGTGCGGAGCGGAAAATTTGTGACAACTTTTAGGCGAAACGGTAGCATTAGGCTGACAGGGACGCTTAAAGCGTGTTGATTTTTAAATAACGAATTTTGTGATATTGGTTGATCGCGCCGCTAAGACTAGTGCGTCGCCTGTCAACTGATGTCGCACACCGGTCAACGGGAAGTTTGAATGCAACTTGCGGCTGCTAACGAGCTAGCAGTGACTGTAATTCGCATACCAAAACTGTTAATTGCTGCCTCAGACGCGGGTTCCAAGTGTCGCTGTCATACAGCATAAGTGGTTCTTGTTAAGGATTCCGGTGATCCCTGCCCTGTATTCGGGGAAATGAATGAAGATATTGTTGTGTCGAAATCATGTTACGACAACTTTTCGGTACCAACACCGTGGCGCAACTTCCAGATTATTGTGGAGGACACTTCATTGTGAGTCTATATTTTTACATCAAAATTCATGTGTTCATGTTCATGCCAAAGAAACACTCATTTGTTCTACACCAAAAAGGGTCAACATGGCCTCAAAAATGTCTGTTTCACTGAAGCCAGAATCTGTTCCAGCTATGTGAACGCTGGCTGGTTAGCAGAGTTGTCCTCATTCTTTGCCTCATATTGTTTTGGTGAGGATGCACACAACTCCCTGATCATTGACGACATCAAACCAAGCGACATGCTCGAGTTTTTCCGTTGTATTTTCTTCTGTCCAATGCGGAAACCAATTACTGGTGAGTTCTTGGCATAAGTCAGACTTGCTTTGACGAGACTTCTTTTTCTCAGAGCTAATGTAATCTGACATCCACAAGCTTTTAAACTCAAACACTATATTGTAGTATCCAATGTGTCCCTAATCTTGCGTGTTGCATCACGATTCCAAATGAAACCTGTGGTTGCGAGGTGCGAACAATTTGTCGCTCGTTCTGCAAACACATTAGACAGAGACAGATTATTCCAGGTAAGTTTTTTTTTGTGAGCAGGATATACTGAAGCTCTCTGCTCTCTGGTGTCCGAGCTCTACCTCCTGTTGTGAAGTTGGTTCTAACAAATTGACACGAAGTTGGCCGTAACGTTATAAGGTCATCAGTCTATTGTGAAAGTCTCATGGGATTCGAAGTAATGAATTCGTGAAAATTCGTGAAATTTTGTCCGCTCATGTCCACCCATTTGGTACTGTGTTCCAAATCCTTATATAGAACGAAATGTTTTTCTATTAGTCTGTCAGACCACCACCTTGGCTGATTTTTGTGTTTGAGTTCTTGGCTGTGGCTGGCAAACAATGAAAATATCAAAATACCATCAGCTATTATGCTTATTGTCTCGTAGATAAATTAGTTAAGGTTACATGCGCAGTTTCACATTGCGATCCAAACAGTTCGACCATGAGTGTTTTGGTGGATAAACTTGCTTCAATCAAGGTGAGCTTGTGCATTCTTAAGTTTCTAGTAAACGTTCAGTGCCTTACATGCTAGGTATGCACTTCATCTTTTACGGAAGTGCTTTCTCCCTCGAATCTAAGAATAATTCAGTTACTAGAACTTCTTTTGTTGGTTTTCAAACGATGACTTATTCAATCCTGACTGGTTACCTCAGACTATCGACCCTTTCTGATGAGGACTTTTTGCGATAAAGGCACATAAAAACATGACCATAAGTCTATGGGCATTGGAAAGTAGTTGCCGTGGGCGGCCTATGGGACCAAACACTATTGTAAATTCAGTTATACTCTCCGAATTGTCGAAAACATAGCTCAGAGAATTTATTCAGTAGCTTTTGTGTCCAATACATTGTTGAATCGTTGAAATGAGCAGAACACCGTGGCGAAATTGAGATAATTGCTAACGCTTAATTTTTCTGTTTGTACTTCAGGAGGAAGACTTGTCCCGAATGCAGTTTTCGCAGATGCCTGGCGATGTTGTTGCGGAAGTGTACACACAGAAATTTCGTGAGCGTGAAAGAAAACGTCAGTTATGGTGTTGCTTCGCGTGAGTTGAACAACCGTAATTGCTTTCTGGGAAAAATTATCTGAATTCCTACATCAATTAGTGCGCCTTGCAGACAGTTGATACCCTTGCGTAAAGTGAGGGTGGATCTTTAAATATTATGAATGTCTCTTGGTGTTGAATCATTGAGTATGAATATCATATACGCGATGATTCAACTCCAATCTTTCAGTATTGATTGACCCTGCTACGAATCTGTGTGCTACAGTGTGCTACAGGGAACGGCTTCTTCGAATTGTTATATCCCCGGACGGGGAGGGGGCGGCAAAATTTTAATCAAAATCTATTCGCTAGCCATTTTCTCAATTTTGAGTCTTGTGAAGTAAGGAGCAAACATCATCGAGCTCATAGATGTCAGAAACTTCTGATTGCTACATATTCTTCCGTAGAACCAACAAAATGGATTATTTTATTACGTCCTATTTGAAAAAAAACTCTTCGGTTGAGACTCTTCGGTTTATCTGAAACTATATATTAATTGGGATGGAAATCCTGTATTGCGTTTGCGCGTGGTCACTCCATTTCTAATCCACGGTCAGCAGCGGTCTCGCTTGAGTTTAAGCAAGTGCTTGTTTTATAAGGTTCCGCAGAGCGGCCTTTCTATTATAAGTGTCTGCAATTTGTGGTTTTCCGAATATGACATCTGCAAAAAACAACTCTTCTCATTGAAGGGCAGTATCGAGTAAAGTGGTCATCCGTAAATGTCTTGACCTTTTGGAGAATCTCCATTGGTACCTGTAATCAGTCTTTCTATATCTAGGAGCTGGATGGAGGCGCTTCAACGGCGGAGGCGACGAAGAGCTGCAGCACGTCGTTAAAAGCGCAGGCTTCCAAGAAGGTGTCAAGATCAACGTCATGTACCACTCGAAGATAAATTACTTGAAATTGCGACTGATTGGGATTCCTTTGGTGTTAAAAAATGTTGAGTTGTGGACATTTCATTGGTCATGGAAATACTTCTTTTTTAGTGTATTTTGGAAACAAATTTTTGTTTTTTACCAAATAATTTTCAAATGGGTAACTCCACCGGTGAAACTGATGCCTGGAAAAAAGAAAATTTCGGCTTGTATAGCTGGTGGGAGTTTCGTTCCCTCTGTGAAAGCTTTAAAAGCAATGGACGAGGGATAATGAGACAGGGACACTTCGTATAGATGCGAGGAGGCAATTAAGAGGGTGTGAAATGAATGGAAGCTTTGGATTTATATCTGAAACATAATAAAGTATTGAGACTCAGAAACATATCCTTTTATTTCCAAATGATACTGTTTTGTCAATGGTGAATAATGTTTTTAGTTACGGAATTTTACAATATCCTCTCCTTCGACTGACTTTCTTAAAAGACTCGGCCATCAATTTATCATTTGCTATAACCTCTCTATTGTATCATTTAGGTTACATTCAGTAAAGCAGCTTAGTATTTCAATGTTCTTGTTGAGCTGTTTTGAAAGTTTATTTTTTATTTGCGATTTTCAATTACCGTAGTCATTTTGCTCATATAAATAATATTATTATGAACATCAGTGACACACTGTACACGTCAACAAGAAGGCACGACCACTAGGTGTGTCTCGTAAAGTTTACAACGCTTTCATGAAAATCTTGTGAGAAGGCGGTGGGAACTTCCCCCTGGAAGCCCTATGCAAAGCTTTCGCCAAGGGAGTTTCATGACTAGTGCCTGATGCAAGGTGCAAGCCAAAGGCTGAGAAATGAACGCGAAGGATGAGAAGAGGTGGTACACCTTGGAAACCCGTTTTTTCGTATTCCATCGAGAAGGTCGTAGAGAGGATAAATATTTTCAACAAATGTACGATATTATTATCTACTTATTGTTAGTTTAATGAAAGGGCCATCGAATCAGCGCTTGGTTTTTTGTACCCTACCCTACTACATTCTTCGTGCAAAAGTGAAGGTGAAGTCCAACATAACAAGACTGTGACAATAGCTGAAAAAACGGACGTTTGAGAAGAATGAGATCTGGCCCGGATATGATTTAGGATCTCCTCAAAAATATTGGGAAAACTGTGTAACGAGAATTAAACGAATTCAGGACATCAGTAGTTTCAAGGATTGTGCTGCCAAAGCGTTCTTTCGGGCAGGAGTTGTACGACTTGGCATTATCAAGGCTCGTACTGTAGAGCGATAAGTGCTTGACATGCAACAGTACAGAACGAATGATGTCAGACAGTTGACAAGCGACAGTAAGTCGAGCATTTCACCAACGTTTACATAAACCATGGTGTGAATATGGGATGGATACATTGCAGACAGGATGGCGAGTAGCCCTGAAACATAGATTCGATCTTACAAATTTTAATCATGACTTTACAAGCGACATGAGTATTTAGCCTTACAGTTCACGATAATTTTGAGACGCCTTTCTGGGTTGGAAAGTGGAGATTTTGTGAGAAGTATGGCGCACTGATGGGAAAGAACGCAAGAAAATCCGCAAAACTCGTGAAAACCAAGGATTCTTAAAGATAGGGGAAAAGATAATTACAAATCTCTGGAACCGTCAAACATCAATCACAAACTACGTCTTTCGAGCCTCAGGTTGCAATGCATCGATCTTTAGTGAGAAGGATTGCTTTTTCTGCTGTGGGGAATTTGTACGGGTGAGCTGAGCAAGGGTCAGGAGGTGCCACACAGGTGGAGCTGACTGGTGGCATTCACATTACGAAAGAAAGCCTTAGCCGTCGAACGATATCTCGCTGGTCGGTGAGTTGTGTTGCATTGAACTCCTGTTCAACGGTTTGAAACCGAATAAAAAATGATTAACTTCTTTTTTTTTTATAAAAAGCAAAGTTCTGCCAAAAAGGGAAGTACCAATAAGCAATCAGTGAAAACACCATAGTCGATCAATATACGGAAAGAGTACGAGGCAACCCTTATCTTCGAGATTGATAAATTTTTCAACTCGGCAATGATCGTCGACCTGTGGGATATCGATTAGCCATCGACGCCGGCGTTGATATTGCTACTATAAACGCAACTAACCACCTTGTTGGGTAATTACTCACGCTACATTTACAGTGGGATTAATGTAGGTATTCCTGACAAGCCAACCAAGGGAGCATCACATCTAAGGATGTCCTTGAGATAACGCTCCGGACACCTACAGACTTGCGTTGCCTCTTTTTTTTACTTCAGACCACGTCAGTTTCATAAGATGCCACAATGAAACTGATGTACTGTTCCTATAGATGACGAGGAACATTAAAGGAATGGTCAGCCAAAAGTTGAAATGATGACTATTTACTGTGAAACCATAGAATTATATGACGAGTTTTCTCCATTTAAACTAACCCTGAGGTAACTCAGTGCAGAGAAATACCACCAACATGATGATGAGCATTAGCGTCGTTTTATCCATGCTTAGTTTTGTACATTTTCTGAAATTCCACATCAAATGGGGTAGTGCTTTTCTAATTTGTTTTGGACTCACCGACTAGTACTGCCGTCTCCTCTAAGCTGTCGCCTCTTTTCGCTCATTTCACATAATTTCCAAATTAGAGCTATTGTAAACCATAATAATAGAGCACACGGGAGAGCCTGGAAATCTCTCAACTTACGGTTGTTCTGAATTTACTAGAAAATCTTGATTACCTTGAAGAAAATACCAGTAAGCCATAAATTGGCCCGAAATAGTGTACAGCCATTGAAGTCAATTTCGTCTAATTGTACTGTATACAGATTGTCGTACTGAAAAATAAACCGACTTGTAATTGAATAATAGGAGTGTTTGACCAGATTTGCTCAGGGAATTTAGTACCTGTGTGTCATTTATTTCGAGTACCTCGCTGACCGGTACAATTTTATGTACCATCAGCGTTGGTATTGAAATGAATGCGACCGATGCTGCGGTGAAGAAGAAAATATGTCTGAAAAGAGCAAAAAATAGCTACTACTGGTATATAAACCTATAATGAACTGCAAAACACAATTTGTTCATTCATACTGAGGAACAATGCCCTAATCCATTTTGTTCCCGCGACAGTGCCACTTGGCGTGCGTTGCATGCATGTGTTGCGGGTGTGCGCTGCGCAGGTGAATCGCGGGCGCACGTACATATGTAAACGTCAAATGTGCTCTCTTAGGTCACTGGTATTACGTAGAGGCCTACTCCGACGCGGGCATTGCGCGATGAACGAAGAAGGAGAGAATATTCGAAAATTTAAAAAAAAATTAATATCCAGTCATGGTGCTGACCTACCTTAGAGGTATGAAAATACCAAACCCCTCCCCCTCCGCTGTAAAATAAAGAAAGGCTGAAGAAGTAAGCAAAAGTGCGAGGAGAGTTCTTGCCCAGCCCTGAAAAAATCCGGAGAGGTGATGGATACTTTCGGGGCGCAATGTGTAATAGCGGCTGGGTGCTTTCAGAATTCCATGTCCATTGTTCAAACCAACCGATGCCGTTGCTGGCCACGTGTTGACAACGATGGGTACCGACCGATACCGCTCCAGCTCCTCTGTGTCAATCTGTCTAGCGTTGTCAACAAGTGGCCAGCAACGCTGTCGATTGGTCTATTGAACAATGCACGTCTCTGAACTCTGAAAGCACCCAAAAGAAGTGATGAATGATCCTAACAGCTCTACGCCACGAGGTAGCTAAAAGATTCGCGGGGCGCCAGCGTGAGTCACTGCTGATTTTCAACATTCCGGCAGTGTTCCTCTGAAGGTTTACTTCTTACAGTAATTTGTGAAATCATCACCTAACAGCGCTATTATTGATCCACTTGGCATCCAATCGATCGAGAGCTGTCCATCTAATGTACGCCATTGTGACTGAGAGATATAGTGAACACGTATGCAGTGCTATTGATGATGTCACATGGATGATCAAGAACACTAGCCAAGGATAGGAATAACTGAAAACGATGAATGTTAAATGAAACTCAAAACTGCAACTGTTATGAAATATAGGTAATAAGAGATGGGTGCAGCTAAACTGCACATGCACATGCAAGCTGCACGGCACAACTGCACACGTCCGTGGATCAGAGCCTATATAGCAACTCGTTCAGGTCAACATTACTCTTAAAGCATTTACGATAAAATGGCCTCTGAGATACCACTCTGGTATAAATCTGTGCCTCCCTGGTATGACTACCATATGGGGCGCTGTCAGGCCGGAAGTGGACCACACTCAACCGATACTTTCACTTTTCAACGTGAAAAGGGTACTTCAAAATTACCGTGAACTTGCCTTTGAGCTCAGCGATCTCAGTTTTACCTCGGCCCGAAGCTCCCAAAAGGACGTCCATAGGTTGAACATGTACACAATGTAGTTCTCATGCTGAGTGGAACATGAATGTATTACGAGTTTCAGGAAAGGTAGCGACCGAAATGGACCGTATTATTCCTTTATTTCCCCATAAATATAAGGTAAACTTTAGACTGTCGACCATAATAAGTAAATATTCACAGTACCTATAGGAGGAATAAAGAGGGCTTAAACTTCTTAAAGACACGGTTCACGATAAAAAAGGCTACTGAGTTTTTCCTTTAGGAATACTCAGCGCCCCCATGGGAGGTAGAAGGGACCCTCTCACTCTCCCAATCTCGACGTCTAGGGCCTAGTGCAAGCCCCGTTGTAGCCGTGATTGGCTTTCCCGCCCCTCGATCGATGTCACGTCATGCGAGATGTAGACGCGGTTCAGAGCCATGTATTCGCGTCAGGATCCACCATTCAGCACGAAATCAGCTGTTTGGGTGTGCCGTGTGCAATTGCAGACATTGCGTCACATTACCTCTGTTTTTTCACTGTGGAACTCGTTCAGCCCCCTTTTTTACCTCTTTTTTGAACCTTTTTATTTCTTTTTATTCGTCGTTTTTTGCGCTTTCTTCATTATTATCGCACTATTCTGGAGTTGATCTATCATTTTCCGTCCAAAAACGGGTAACTCAAAATTATCGTGAACTGTGCCTTCAAGTTGATCAGTTCCGATTCTAGGATAGGCCACCGTACTTAATTTCCAATCAAAATCGTAATTTCTTTTGTGTGATTAAGTTTAATCTGTGGGTAATAATAAACCAACCCCGGGGCGAGAGACGGTTTGGTTGGCTTGTACCAGTACTAACCCAGGATTCGACTCAGGTAGCCTGCTTGCTATAGAACCCTACCTACCAGTACGCTACTTTCCTTTATCTCGATACTTCTACTTATCAATATATGGAGAAAAAGATGAATGACTGCAGGAAGCGTCCTCTCTTTGCTTCCCCTAAGCCCCTGTGATTGGTTCCCAAAAGTGCACAAACGAAAACCTTTTAGAAGACCACGATGATCATCTTATTTCTCAACAAATTAGTTTAGAAGTAAATATTCCAATTCTTGGTATGCAACGGAAATCTGCACTATCCCTCTTTTAATTAGTTTCTACTGTATTTTGAGGTTTAATTAAAGAGGATTTTGCGAGCCCACATAACCTTGCCAACATTCATCCATTGATTAATTTTTTGTAAAGTTGCTTGCAAGCTTTCTGCATCGAATTGAAATGAAGGTGACACGGTGGCTAATGCTTTTTCGTAGCTCGCATTCCAAACTAAAATGCTTAGAAACCCTTTCTTGTGGGACCAGTCGACAAGTACTTGTCCAGCCTCCTGAATTTTCCTTCCCTAGAAAACTTGGTTGTTCCCACAAAGGTTATCGGGAGTAAAGTTTAATGGCTGCAGCAGTGATACATTAATTTTTATGTCAACTTAAAATAATTCAGTAACAGAAACAATGTTTAGGGGCTTTAATCGTGAGGTACGTCTGGTTGGGGCAGGTACCTGGTGGGTGGAATCTCAATAGTAAGTGTTCCGGATTGTGAAGATTGCCCGAATCAAATACTTTTGATTTCAATGAGTCAAACCGAAAATCCAAATATGCCTAATACTATACATTACAGGTGAAGCTCTTGTAGATGGGAAACTTGGAGTCTTGAAGTGCTTTAGGGTTGATAAATCCCGTCTGAGGATTACGCCACCGTATTCGACATCCACTCAGAATCATAGTGGCATATTGAATGCATATGTGGGCTATACAATGGCTTACGACGGCCAGTATATGTACAAGTCAGTGCTTTTATCCTCCCAGACGAGTCTGGTACCAATTAACCGACCCCTGAAGGATGGAAGGCCTGCCCGCCTGGGCGGATATCAATCCAGGATTCGAACCCATGACCATGCGTATGTGATAGTGCACCACTTACCAAGTTGGTGTGAAGGTTATTAAACAAGTATACCAAAAAACACAAATAGTGAAATCAGGAAACATCCTTGGTGTTCAGAAAATTATGTGCATTCTTGGTGTTCTGAAAATTATGTGTCAACTCCATACACGGTGTGAGTTACGGTATGAATTCGATTACCATCCGGCGTTATAGTCATGTTCAAATAGAGAACTTACAGTAAGAGCTCTGCTGGTCCCCAAATCAAGTTCTGATTTTCAGACACTACGGTAAAATGCATTTTTGTGAGAAGCTGATAAATAGTGGTCTAATAAATTCAAGCAGCGTTGATGTAAAGTTTATTACTGCGAGTCAGCTGGAGTTGTTTGTGGCGTTAATTTCATCCTAAGCACCAATACCGTAGTTTCTAAAGGTCCACTATTCGGTCGTTCGAGCTCTACAGCATCCACCTGTCAAGCACCTGTTGCTGCCATTCCTGTGGGACCCCACCACAACATTGTTTTTTCTTTGTAAAGTGGTAGTCGATTTATCCAATTCCTCACCCGATCACACCATTATTGTCGAAAATTCGGAATTTAATAATGTAGATCAGGTAAGACGACATTGTTAGGGCATCACATACGGCCATAGCACATAGTATTGCATTGATGATATAGGCTCGCATAGGTCGACGACTGAAAGTAAAATTGAGGATGAGGTAGAAGGAACAAAGATGAAGAAGAAAGGAAGGAGGAATCATCTCCCTGAGTGTTCCTTACCTTAACACATAGAAATGTAAAATATTGAGGCTGATACCGACAATACATACTACAAGACATATAAACCGATGGAATCCGGTGTAAATACTGAAAAATGCGGAAATTATCAGTCCCAAATTGATTGGAGGCAAATAAAAGAGAACAAATAAAAGTATAGATAGAAAATATTGTTTAAACAAGTAGTAAGCAATTATACTAAATGATTTTTTCACCTGCTGAAAGCTTGTAATTCGTGAAAAAATTGTATTGTAGCGTTGTCTTCCAGATCGAATAAAGGTGGATCGTTCTGACACTGCATAGTTAGTAATCTGAACGCCTAATTTTTAAGTTGATCCTTCGATCCGAAATTAAAAAGACAGGCGATTTTAGAATTAAATTAAAGGGATTCTATAGATAAAGTGTCACGAGCAACGTTTTTGATTGGATATGGAACAAGAATGAAAGTGAGATAGGCTCTTAAAAGGCTGGCAAATTATGGGCAAAACCTCGGCCTCGGACGGGATTCGAACTCGCACATGTGTTATAAAAAGTGAGACAGTTAAATTCCAAAAAAACAGATGAGATAAATTTATAAAAAATGGATGTTCTGGAAGGGAGGAGAAAATCGAGCGGCGGCACATCAAGTCCAAGTGTCCGTCGAGGACCTCCTGATGGGTGGACGGCGGAGGAGAGTGGCTATGTTTGATGAAAAGCTTCGAAATATCAATTAATCCCTTGCCTGCTATTGGAATTGAATGTCGCTCTAATAGATGAGACCTAAATGCTACATATAACTCCTAACGTATACGATAACTACGAGTAGTAACTTGCTATACTCGGCTCCTGGAGAGTAAAAAAAGGCGATGTTCTACTAACGATCGACCATAAGTCAGAATTGACTTAGTCTGATCGTAAAAACGGTCGAATTTTTCTTCAATATAAAATCGTAGGGCGAAGATGGTGTCGCGGTGTTGTGGCAAGTGGCTTACTATCCCACACCCATGGTCACGGGTTCAAACCCCGGATCGATATTCGGCTAAGCCAGTAGAACATTACACTCCTCAGAGGCCGCTTAATCAGTACCAGACTCGTCTGGTAGGATAAAGCACTGACTTGTACATCAGCTGGCCACCACAAGTTATTGTATGTGCCACATATGCATTCAATATGCCCCAACGATCCTGAACGAGGGTCGACTACGGAGGCATATGCCGTTGACTAAAGTCAAAAAACTTTATCCTTCAGCTTTCCATGAAACCAGGAAATGTAAAAATTGGAATTTATGAAAATAGACAGACAAAATGACACAAAATTATGATAATCGGAGTTGAAGATAATGATCAAGAATGAAAGAGTTGAACATATAAAGTAAAAAGTATAAAGTTTTTGGCGTTAATCAATCCCGTCTGAGGGATGCGCCCCCGCACTTGACTTCCATTCAGAATCGTAGTGGCTTAATGAGTGCGTATGTGACCTATACAATGACTTGCGGTGGCCAACCGA